CTCCTCGTTCCCCTCGTCTTCCGTCTGGCCCACTTCGCCCTGGTGGTCCTGGTGGTCCTTTTATTGTTTGTGATGGTCCGCATGCCTGAAAATTAAATTTATACGTTTCTGCTATTTCGCAAATCGTTTCAAACATAAATTCCTTCCTAAGAAACAATATATTGCGGAACTTACTTGAGCTGCAAAAACACAACTGACCAATAGGAAGGTACCGAATAGATGCATCAATACCGACAATCTGAAAATTTTTAAATTTTTTAAATATTCAATTTTCTCAGAAGATAATTTGTCAGTAGAAATCTTATACGGTTGGAACGATCTCTTTATTTCTGTTCCTCAATTCTTTAGGTGACCAATTGATTATAATACAGAAATTTTTTCTCAGAAGATAATTTGTCAGTAGAAATGTTATACGGTTGGAACGATCTCTTTATTTCTGTTCCTCAATTCTTTAGGTGATCAATTGATTATAATTCAGAAATTTTAGCCGAAAAATTATAATATCGTCGCATATACGAGAAAAGAATTCAGGATTTAAATTGAAGATCAGTAAAGTTCGAGCCAAAGTTTTTTATTTATATTGGAAAGTCGAATATTTTATACGGATCATTCCGAAATTCATGAAGCAAAGAAACATCTTAAGAATTTTCTGTGATCTATGAAAGCTAAACGGATCTTTTTAAATGATAATCTAAAAGTGAACTGAAAGAAGATCCGACTGACAGACAGAAGGTAAGCAGTTAATATAGAATGGGGAAGGATGTGTGGAAGAACGGGTTTTGGATCTTCGAGAAACATAAGGGATTTGGATATCTGATTAATGCCGGTTACTTATTTATTCTTCAGAAATTTCTGAAGTTCCTTAAATTGCCCAATTTCATCGAATTTCTTCTCATCAATTTCAAATAAAGATCCATATGCAGAACAATGGGGTAATAGTATTGTGGAGTAATAGTAAAAAAAATTTCAACAGTTTTCAAGGTACAGTATGAGGAAAAATAATTGTATTCTTTGGTTGAAAACTTCGTCTATAGAAGGATTCAGCTGCCGATTCTAAGAGATCTTTTGTTCTTTTAACAATTTCACTTGCTTTCGAATTATTTTAAAATCTATTGATAGCAATGAAAGCTAAAATACTTTTTGTTTGGAAAACAAATGTACCAAAAATAATACTAAAAAGCCAAAAATTATAAAAACCTCTGCCTCATCAAAGCAAGATTCTAACTTAAACTATTATAACAAATTACACTATATTAAGCAAAAGTATGCAAATCAAAGTTAAAAAAAAAGTAACATTGCAAAAAAGCAAAAAACAGCTCAAGAGGGATGAGAAACAACAAAAACAAAAAGGATTAGATTAAATCTAAACTCAAAATAGAAAACATTATAAAATGACCAATCAAAAAGATAATTCTAATACGCAAGGTCAAAGCCACCTCCTCATCAAAAACCTCAGTCAATGAGAAAAAACATCACTAATGTAGAAACTGAATTTCAGTAATGATCAACCTCAAAAAAAACCAAAAACCCCTTATGAACATAACGAGAATAGCAATCCATAAAACATTTATTCTTAAACTCCAAAAAGAAATAACGAAAAAATAAAAAACCCTGAAAATATGAATCTCGTAGACTTTTTTATCCTACCATGTTATAAAAAGAAAGAACCTCAAAACCCTACTAATCAACAATTAGTTATACAAGAAATATACTATAGGATCAAAACTATCTTAAAACCAACCGCGCTTAAAGCGAAGATACTTATTATACTAAAAAGCCATTAGTGCATATTAATCTCATGATAGCAAATCAAGTATAATAATCTTATATACACAAGTTATATTATTTTATTTATTTTAATAGATGATCAGTTTTTATTATACTAAATTCAATTCCAATTAAAATATAACTTAAAGTAATAATTCAAGGAATTGAATTTATTTAGTAATATTTATTACTAACTCAGGTTGCTAGCTGATTTTGTGTCTGACCTTCGGTACTTTATTGGTCAAACTCATCTAAATAAAATTTTACGATTAATTCATGGGTCATTCCACAAGACACACATCTCTTGCTAACAAATGAACTCATTATGCTTGTTTCATAACTTGCAATTGCTGATTACATTATTTTTTTAAATACGGAACATCAAAGTGGTTTTGGAATCGATTCAAGATTGTGTGCAATTCGCTTAAATTTATTTGAAATAGTGTGATTAATTGAAGGAGGATATTATAAAGGAGGATAAAATATTAGAGGACATTAACATTGAATGGCCATATCGAATGCCACAAATTACAACATCACACAATATCTATGAAAGCTAAACGGATCTTTTCATGAACAGTAGGAAGATTTAGTTGGCTGACAGAAATTCAATAGTTGATAAAGAATTCGGCAAATGGAATGAAAAGTAAGTTCTGAGCCTTCGAGAAGCACAACTAATTTAAATATCTCTTTGATGTCGGTTATCAGCCAATTATTTGTTTCTCAGGAATTTCTAAATGTCCTCGCATTTCTGGTAAAGCAATGCAATGTGAAATAGAAGACTGTCACAATGGAAAATGAATTATTCTTATCGCCTGAAAAGCAGTTTCTCACTCTCTGTCTTAACGGTAGTGATAATGTTCTGAATCTTAAAAAACAGTTGGTAAAGTCAGTC